ATGCTGTACAGAGCCTGCTGTCTGACACGCTGCAGCTGCTGAGGCATATTATCGAACAGCCGATAATGTATTGTAGGATCATTATGTTTTGTCTAGTACATCTTTTTAATCAGATGAACAAACACCATCTTGGCTCTTAAATCAATGCCGAGGGTTTCCTCTGCCAAACGGATGCCGTGCACTGTGTAGCACTTGCAGCAACGTGTTCTGTGGCCAGTTTGGTGTAGTGGGTAGAGCATCAGACTAGGATCTGGCAGGCCCGGGTTCGAATCCCCACCCTGCCACGAAGGCTTGGTGGACGACCTTGGGCCAGGCACACCCCGCAGCCTCACCTGCTTCCCAGGACGGGATAATAACGTCAGCTGCTTTGGGTCCCCATTGGGGAGAAAGGCAGGGTACAAAATGACGTCCCTATAAATCGAGTTGGGGTGGGGAAGTTCAGATGGTGACAAGCGGTGGTGTGTTATGACCAAGTCCCGGGTTTGATTCCCCACTCCACAATATGCAGCTGCTAGTGTGATCTTGGGTCAGTCACCAGTTCTCTCAGAGCTGTTCTCTCAGGGGCAGTTCTCGAGAGAGCTCTCTCAGCCCCGCCTACCTCTCAGGGTGTCTGTTGTGGGGAGGGGAAGGGAAAGGAGATTGTAAGGCGCTCTGAGACTCCCTTGGGTAGTGAAGGGCACAGTATAAATCCAATCTCTTCTTCCTCTTCTTAATTTCTGAGATGTTATTACTATTTCTTCAGAGCCAGTTTGGAGAACTGGGTTTGGTTCCCCACGTCCCCATTTGATTCCCCACTCTTCCACATGAAGCCAGTAGGGTGACCTTGGGTCAGTCACAGTTCTCTCAGAGCTTTCTCAGCCCCATCTACCTCACAGGGTGTCTGTCGTGGGAAGGGAAGACAATTGTAAGCTGTTCTGAGACTCCTTCTGGTAGTGAAAAGCAGGCTGTAAAATCCTCCCCCTCCTCCTCTCCTTATCCTCCTCCTTCCCCCCCCCTCTCAAGGTTTTGACAAAACTGCTTCGTTCCCTCCCCCAGCCATTTTCCATCATGTGAGCAGATTTCCTAGAAAATTGGGGGGGGGGGACGACCTAACAGCCTTCTTCCTGCAGGTTGTCCTGTACATTTTAATTTAATTTGTTAGGATCACTGGGAAAATCGTTTCTGGCTACTTATTTCAGGTATTTAGGGTAATCGTTCGTGTAATATAAATGTGACGCCTAAAAAGTTTGAGAGTTCGCAAGAAAAAGGACCTCTAGATGTAAAGAGAAGCTATGAATGGAGGGTGATGGATTTATGAGTACCTGGTTTTGTTACTAGAACAAAGTTTGAGTCTAGTGGCACCTTTAAGACCGACAAAATTTCACTCAAGGTACAAGCTTTGTGTGCATGCACACTTCCTCAGATAGCTTGAATACCACTCTGTTGGTCTTTTTTTCCCCATACGTGTGTGCGTGTGCGGGCGCGTGTGCGTACCTATGTGCATGCACACTTTTTCAGATACCTTGACTACAACTTTGTTGGTCTTTTTTCCCATACGTGCGTGTGTGTGCGCGCGCATGCGTGCCTAGAAGTCACTGCGACCTCTGGTGACTGACCCCTACTGGGGCCCCAGAGGATATTCAGAGAGGTGGCTGAATAAAGCCTGCCCCCACTTCCCGCCTCTGGTATTCCAAGGAGGTCTCCCGTCCAAGTACTTGCCAGAGTTGACCCTGCTTAGCTTCTGAGATCTGACGAGATCTGGCTTGTCTGGGCGATCCCGGTCAGGGCCAGTGTTCCCTCTAAGCTGAGTTAGTGTGAGCTAGCTCAACAGTTTTTTAGCCTGCAGCTCACACATTTTTCTCTTAGCTCAGAAAGAATGGGTCCAGAGCAAACTAGTAAGCCGCTCTGAGACTCCAAGTGAAGGGCGGGGTATAAATCCAATCTCTTCTCTTCTTCTTTATGCAGAAGCCAAATCCCTCGCTCACAACTTTAACACCAGTAGCTCAAAAAAGTAGAATTTTTGCTCACAAGACTCCACAGCTTAGAGGGAACAGGGCTAAACTTCGTTGGTCTCAAAGGTGCCCCTGAAACCAAACCCTGTAATCTGCTCCTTCAGACCAACACGGCTACCCAGCCGAATCCATCTTCATGGTTTTATTACTGATTTGTGTTTTTTCCTGTTGGTTTTTGCAGACGGAAGACTTGAATAATGAGCTCAGACTTCAAGATGAGCGGATAGAATCCCTAAAAGAGCAGGTTGTGATGGTGCAGGCAAAGGTAAAGGGAGGGGGGAACCCCAGAGGTGCACCTTCATGCAAAATATAGAGCAGCTGAGCACCGAACGGAGTAGCAGCATTTTAGGCTGTATGGCATCAGACGGCTTGGGAGGGCAGTTTTGTCTCCGTGTAATATCCCAAGGGCATGAATAAGCCAACACGCTGGCGATAGGCTAAACGTCTTCTCTCTCTAGTTGTGTTTTAAAACAACTTTCCTCTCTGCACTCAGAAATGCTCCTCTCCGCACTCAAGAATGCTCACGCATATTGTTGTGCAGAGCTTATAAACAAGGAATTAAGACATCTCCTTGGCTGTAATCACACACACTAAATAATCCACGTTCAATCCGTTTTCAGTGCACTTTCCAACTGGATTTTTACTGTGTGAACTGGCAAAATCCAGTCGGAAAGGGGCACTGAAAGTGGATTGAAAGGGGATTATTTAGGCCGTGATCACACGTGATCACACGACACAGGCACTCCTCCCCTTCGGATCAGATGGGCGCAGTCAGACAGCAACATCTATGTGACACAGGCACTCCTCCCCGGCTATTAGCCACAAGGTATAGACAGGGGCTCTGGGGCAAGTGATGCTCTGTCTTCTTGGTGCTTGGGGGGGGGTGTCAACAGTGGGAGGGCTTCTGGTGTCCTAGCCCCACTGGTGGACCTCCTGATGGCACTGGTATTTCTGGCCACTGTGTGATACAGAGTGTTGGGCTGGATGGGCCATTGGCCTGATCCAACATTGGCGTCTCTTATGTTCTTATCAGGCGTTCCCCAGCCACACGTATCCTGTCACATGACGACTTGGAGCTGGGTTAAAAAGGCACCACATCACGTGGTGTTTTTGGTTCCCTGTGCAGTCATTGCGCATGGCTGGATGTCTGAAAGCGGGAGAGCGTGTGCAGAACGGATTCGTCAGTCTGAACCTGCAGGTCCGTTCTGCTGCCGGGGAGGGTTTCTTTTTTTTAAAAAAAATTGCCTATATGCACATGTGCGCGCGCATGTGTACTTGTGTGCGCGCATGGATTTTGATAATTTTTTTGGCCCCGTGTTCCGTGGCTGAGGCGCTGCAATAATGTGGATGCTTTACCGTGGGATGTCTCCATGGTTAACCCACAGCAGGGTATTCTCTGTGGCTGATATGCCCTGCAGCACTTCCAACCAGTTCAATTAATGGCGGTGCCATATCGTGCCAAGTCGCCAGTGTGGTCACAGCCAGTGTGTGTGTGATGCCAGCCCTTGTCTTTCAGACACAGTGTCCCTTGCCTGTGAAGTAGTAAAGCAAGAGTTGACTCCAGTAGCATCACAAAGACCAAAAAGGTCTATAAGCTTTCAAGGGTCAAAGCTTCCCTTCATCGCATAAATGACAAACGGAGCCTTGGCTCTCGGACGTTTATGCCTGGAAACCTTGTTGGTCTTTAAGGTGCTCCTGGACTCAAACGTTGCTCTTCTACTGCAGCCCAACATGGCTGCCCACCTGTAAAATAGCAGTGGTTGGTTCCCTGTAACCAGGGCTATTATAGGGGCAGGAACGTACAGGAACGGAGTTCCGGCTGGCTCCCAAGTTGGCCACGCCCAGCAGGAACTCATTAGCATAATAGGCCACACCCAACAGCAGGAACTCATTAGGATTGGCTACGTTAGGGGTGTGTGGCCTCACATGCAAAGGAGTTCCTGCTACAAAAAAAGGCCCTGGGTTTTGACAACAAACAAGGTAAACAGAATAAGAAGCAAAAGGTGGGTGTGGCAGGATGACCACACTTCTGGTAACATGGGGGTGCGGCCGAATGTGCTAATGAGCTGTGCTGTCAGGGGTGCGGCCCAATATGCTAATGAGTTCCTGCTGTTGGGTGTGGCCTATTATGCTAATGAGTTCCTGCTGGGCTTTTTCTACAAAAAGAGCCCTGCCCGTAAACAGTTCTTGGTCAAAGCAGGGCTCATTGCAGCTGGCTCCGCCCCCTTAAAGAAGCCATTTTGCTGATAAACTCTGGGGTTGTTGTTTTAAAAAAAATAAAATAAGACATCCCTAAAATTTGAAGTCAGTCCATCCAAAATGGTGGTAGTTGGTGATCATTAACTGCTGAAACAGGTTACTGGAAATCGAATGTTAATATCTGGTGGTGCCAAAATGAAACCAATTCTGTGCGATTCTTTCTTCCAGAACGAAGAACTGAAGTACAGAGTGCAATTCTGGTCTGCCCAATCCAAATCAAGAGTTTCCAGAGCAGTTTCAGCAAAGTACGTGTCTTTTCCTCTCCCCCTCTCTCTGGAGATCTAGCACCTTGTGTGTTTTAAGAATCATCAATAGCTTTATTTGTTTTGAATGATACCATGGCAGCACCTGTGGGCCACGGCAATATTCCACTTCATCCTGTTTGAATGGATTTCTCAAGGTTTTGTAAAGGATGGAAATATTATTAAAGAAAGACACTCGCAGAAAATCCATCCCTCATGTTGAGTCTCCGAGGAACTGCCTCCTTGAACCTTCTATCGGCCCCTCCGCAAGCCAGAGGAGGGGCTGCTACAGATTTTGGAAGGGTCTTCTACTCTCAATAACCCCCAATTGTTTCACAGCATTGGTTGGCAAGGAGGAAGTGGGCTACTCCATAGTGGGAGCCCCACGTGTGGTAGGGTGATGGACATGTTCTTGTGGGCCAATACAAAAATTAAAACATCTGGCATGATGTATTCTGTGGAAATAAATGTAGTGAGGAAACCATGCCTTGATGGGGGATCAAGGTATGTTTTCCTAGCAAGGTCTTAAGCAGACCGAGGCAATGTGGGGACGATGTTTAGTATGCTAGACTAGGGCTGGGGAGACCCACGCTCATGTTCCCATTCTGTTGGAAAGCTCTCTGGGTGTCCGTAGGCCAGTCACACCCTCTCAGATTTAGAAGAAGAGGAGATTGGATTTATACCCCGCCCTTCACTACGCCAAAGTGTCTCAGGGCGGCTTACAAACTCCTTTCCCTTCCCCTCCCCACAACAGACACCCTGTGAGGTAGGTGGGGCTGAGAGAGCTCTTGGCAGAAACTGCTCTTTTTCAAGGACAGCTCTTATCAGAACTACGGCTTGCCCAAGGTCACCCAGCCAGGTGCAAGTGGAGGAGGGGGGAATCAAACCCGGTTCTCCCAGGTTAGAGTCCGCGCACTTAACCACGACACCACACTGGCTCTCGATGAGCGCCCGATGGGGAACTCAGAAGCACATGTGACTGACCCTCATAAAACAGGTCAAGAAATAATAAAAATATTAAAATGATACAATAAAACCAATTTAAAGCATTGAAAGTGGGTAGTGTAGTATATTAGTTTCAGTTCCCACAGCCGGAATGGATAGGCCAACGCTGAGTCGTAACGATCTCATGCAGCAGCAATAGGGAGGCCAGCTGGTAGATGCCCGCTGCCTCAACCAAAGGCCTGGCGGAACAGCTCTGCGGAACTTCAACAGGTCTCACAGGGCCCTGATCTCAATCGGGAGCATGTTCCACCAGGCTGGGGCCACTACTGAAAAAGCCCTGGCCCTGGTTGAGCCTAGATGGGCATCTTTTGGGCTGGGGACAACCAGCAGACGGCTGTCTGCAGAGCACAAGGCTCTCCGGGGCACATAGGGGGAGAGGCGATCCCATAGATATGTCGGTCCCAGGCCACATAAGGCTTTAAAGGTCAACACCAGCACCTTGAAACGGACCCAGTACTCAATTAGTAGCCAGTGCGCCTCCGCACGCCAGCCCACGTGGCTTTTGTCCATACAGGTACCGTGGTCCTCACTCAGTGCCTCCATTTTCAGTGGAACAAAGGAGTTACCTCCTCCCTTTTCCACTAGTGGATAAGTTGGTTGTCACGCAGGGTTCTTTTTGTAGCAGGAACTCCTTTGCATATTAGGCCACACCCCCTAATGTAGCCAATCCTCCAAGAGCTTACAGAGCTCTTCTTACAGGAGCTACTGTAAGCTCTTGGAGGATTGGCTACATTAGGGGGGTGTCGCTTAATATGCAAATGAGTACCTGCTACAAAAAGAGCCCTGCGTTGTATTCGATGCAAGCTCTCTCCACCTCTTCCCCAGTGGCTTGATGCACGGTGTAGGCACAAGGTATCCGTTTGCACCACGGATCTGTTGTTCCCTGCGGGAAGGCTTAACCTTCTCCTTGTTTCTGCAGCCTCGAAGGGGCCTCTCCGTTCAGCATGGTAACCAGACTCCGCAAGTGAGACGTCCCTGTGATCTGGCCCCGAGATCCCACGCTTCCTTGGCTCCTTGCTTCCTTCCCGTTGAGAATTCCTCTCCTGTGCAGTCCCATTTTGAAACCTTCTGCACGGGAACAGCTCTTCTCCCACAACATCCTGGTTGAGGCCTGTGGCAGGACGGATGGCCTTTCCAGCGAAAGAAGCAGCGTCTGATGTGGAGGAGGAGGAAGTGGCTTTGTTTTTTATTTATTTAGAGACATGTGACTGTAGCAGTGTGGCTGTCTCCACCGATGATGGAAACGTGCTGCCTTTAGGACTGATTTCAGCCGTACGCAGCTGCCAAGAAACTTCTTTGTGCCATACGCGGGGATATGCATCCAGCTATACCGACAATTTCTACAAAAAGAGCCCTGCCTGTAACCAGATCTTGGTCAAAGCAGGGCTCATTGCAGCTGGCTCCGCCCCCTTAAAGAAGCCATTTTGCTGATAAACTCTGTTGTTGTTGTTTTAAAAAAAATAAAATAAGACATCCCTAAAATTTGAAGTCAGTCCATCCAAAATGGTGGTAGTTGGTGATCAATAACTGCTGAAACAGGTTACTAGAAATCGAATGTTAATATCTGGTGGTGCCAAAATGAAAACAATTCTGTGCGATTCTTTCTTCCAGAACGAAGAACTGAAGTACAGAGTGCAATTCTGGTCTGCCCAATCCAAATCAAGAGTTTCCAGAGCAGTTTCAGCAAAGTACGTGTCTTTTCCTCTCCCCCTCTCTCTGGAGATCTAGCACCTTGTGTGTTTTAAGAATCATCAATAGCTTTATTTGTTTTGAATGATACCATGGCAGCACCTGTGGGCCACGGCAATATTCCACTTCATCCTGTTTGAATGGATTTCTCAAGGTTTTGTAAAGGATGGAAATATTATTAAAGAAAGACACTCGCAGAAAATCCATCCCTCATGTTGAGTCTCCGAGGAACTGCCTCCTTGAACCTTCTATCGCCCCCTCCGCAAGACAGAGGAGGGGCTGCTACAGATTTCGGAAGGGTCTTCCACTCTCGGTAACCCCCAATTGTTTCACAGCATTGGTTCGCAAGGAGGAAGTGGGCTACTCCACAGTGGGAGCCAATGTTCCCTCTAAGCTGTGGAGTCTTGTGAGCAAGAATTCTACCTTGTGAGCTACTGGCATTAAGGTTGTGAGCAAGCAATTTAGCTACTGCATAATTTCCTTGCTCTGGAGTCCTCTTTCCTGAGCTGAGACAAAAATGTGTGAGACAGAGGCTAAGAAACTGTGAGCTAGCTCACACTAACTCAGCTTAGAGGGAACACTGGCAGGAGCCCCACGTGTGGCAGGGTGATGGACATGTTCTTGTGGGTCAATACAAAAATGAAAACATCTGGCATTATGTTTTCTGTGGAAATACATGTAGTGATGAAACCATGCCTTGATGGGGGGGATCAAGGTATGTTTTCCTAGCAAGGTCTCAAGCAGGCCGAGGCAATGTGGGGACGATGTTTAGTATGCTAGACTAGGGCTGGGGAAACCCACGTTCATGTTCCCATTCTGTTGGAAAGCTCTCTGGGTGTCCTTAGGCCAGCCACACCCTCTCAGATTTAGAAGAAGAGATTGGATTTATACCCCGCCCTTCACTACCCAAAGGTGTCTCAGAGCAGCTTACAAACACCTTTCCCTTCCCCTCCCCACAACAGACACCCTGTGAGGTAGGTGGGGCTGAGAGAGCTCTGACAGAAACTGCTCTTTTTCAAGGACAGCTCTTATCAGAACTATGGCTTGCCCAAGGTCACACCAGCCAGGTGTAAGTGGAGGAGTGGGGAATCAAACCCGGTTCTCCCAGATTAGAGTCCGCACACTTAACCATGACACCAAACTGGCTCTCGATGAGCGCCCGATGAGGAACTCAGAAGCACATGTGACTGACCCTGATAAAATAGGTCAAGAAATAATAAAAATATTAAAATGATACAATAAAACCAATTTAAAGCATTGAAAGTGGGTAGTGTAGTATATTAGTTTCAGTTCCCACAGCCGGAATGGATAGGCCAACGCTGAGTCGTAACGATCTCATGCAGCAGCAATAGGGAGGCCAGCTGGTAGATGCCCGCTGCCGCAACCAAAGGCCTGGCGGAACAGAGCTCTGCGGAACTTCAACAGGTCTCACAGGGCCCTGATCTCAATCGGGAGAATGTTCCACCAGGCTGGGGCCACTACTGAAAAAGCCCTGGCCTTGGTTGAGCCTAGATGGGCATCTTTCAGGCTGGGTACAACCAGCAGACAGCTATCTGCAGAGCACAAGGCTCTCCGGGGCACATAGGGGGAGAGGCGATCCCATAGATATGTCGGTCCCAGGCCACATAAGGCTTTAAAGGTCAACACCAGCACTTTGAAACGGATCCGGTGCTCAATTGGTAGCCAGTGCGCCTCCGCACGCCAGCCCACGTGGCTTTTGTCCATACAGGTACCGTGGTCCTCACTCAGTGCCTCCATTTTCAGTGGAACAAAGGAGTTACCTCCTCCCTTTTCCACTAGTGGATAAGTTGGTTGTCACGCAGGTTTCTTTTTGTAGCAGGAACTCCTTTGCATATTAGGCCACACCCCCTAATGTAGCCAATCCTCCAAGAGCTTACAGAGCTCTTCTTACAGGAGCTACTGTAAGCTCTTGGAGGATTGGCTACATTAGGGGGGTGTCGCTTAATATGCAAATGAGTACCTGCTACAAA